ATGGGGGCGCCTGGGTGGCGCAGTCGGTTAAGCGTCCGACTTCAGCCAGGTCACGATCTCGCGGTCCGGGAGTTCGAGCCCCGCGTCAGGCTCTGGGCTGATGGCTCAGAGCCTGGAGCCTGTTTCTGATTCTGTGTCTCCCTCTCTCTCTGCCCCTCCCCCGTTCATGCTCTGTCTCTCTCTGTCCCAAAAATAAATAAATGTTGAAAAAAAAATTAAAAAAAAAAAAGAAACAAAACAAATGAACGACAACAACAAAAAGAAACAAGCCAAAAACACTCTCTTAATTATAGAGAATAAACTGTAGAGAATTACCAGAGGGGAGATGGGTGGGGAGATGGGGAAAATAGGAGGAGGGAATTAAGAGTACACTTATCTTGATGAGCACTAAGTAACATGTCGAATTGTTGAATCAATGTATTATACACCTGAAACTAATATAACAAACACTCTATGTTAACTATACTGGAATCAAATTTTATAACAGATGAATACGGTTTTGGGGTCTAATGTGCAACATGGTGATTATATTAACAATACCGAATTATGTACTTGGAAGTTGCTAAGGGAGTAGATCTTAAATGTTCTCACCACAAAAAGGAAATGGTAATTATGTGAAGTGATGGAAGTGTTAGCTAACACTACAATGGTGATCGTTTTTTAATATGTAAGTGCATCAAATCAATAAAAACATTGTATACCTTAAACTTACACAATACATCCATTATATTTTACTAAACTGGAAGAATTTTTTAAAAGATGATGCGTGACACTTCAAATGCAGATTAAAAACATATTGCTACCTTGAACAAGTTAAATAAAAAAATCAAAAAAAAATTTAATGTGTATTTTTTTTTTTTTTTTGAAGGAGAGAGAGACAGAGTGTGAGTGGGGGAGGGGCAGAGACAGAGACAGAGGCACAGAATCCGAAGCCTGCTCCAGGCTGTGTGTTGTCAGCACAGATCCCTATGTGGGGCCCAAACCCACAAGCCGGGAGATCATGAACTGAGCAGCAGTCAGATGTTTTACTGACTGAGCCACCAGGTCACCCCTAAATAAAAGGATTTTTTACATGTTTCTTTTGAGAGAGAGAGAGAGAGCATGAATGAGGGTAGGAACAGAGAGTGGGAAAGAGAGAATCCCAAGCAGGCTCCACATTGTCAGCACAATCCCCAAGCAGGGCTTGATATTACAAAGCTGTGAGATCTGAGCTGAACCAAACTCAAGGGTCGGTCGCTTGTCTGACTGAGACAACCAGGCGCCCCAGGATTTTTTTTTTTTTTCTAGATGAGAAGACCATGAACTCTGTTGATGAGAGGTGGGAGTGAAATGTGACAACATATAAAGAAAATGAAAATGCCGTTATATCTTTTTTGGTTCCCTTATGCCATAAAGAAAACCTTGACTTGAGAATGTTTTATGAGAAATTAATCACCATTCCCACATTATGTCCTTTTCTCAACAGACTATGGATCACAGACTGGAAACCTATTCAGGCTTAACTCTCACTGAAACCAAAATGGTGCAAACTTGATTCTGTTTAAAAGCTCTGAACATTATGATTCCCCTTACAGTCCTTCCCTTTATTAGGAGCAAAAGATCACAGTGACTAAACCCATTCAGAGGAAGAAAAGGAGCTCAGAAAGCAGAAGAGTAGAAAAAGAATACCAAGGGAAAGTTAAAAAGAAGATTCTTTTGCAGAAAAGCTTGATCTCATAGGGTATAAGATCCATTGTAGAAAGTAAGACTTGAGCTAAAATGATTCCTTTTTAAAAAAATGTTTATTGGGGCGCCTGGGTGGCACAGTCGGTTAAGCGCCCGACTTCAGGCAGGTCACGATCTCGCGGTCCCGGAGTTCGAGCCCCGCGTCAGGCTCTGGGCTGATGGCTCAGAGCCTGGAGCCTGTTTCCGATTCTGTGTCTCCCTCTCTCTCTGCCCCTCCCCCGTTCACGCTCTGTCTCTCTCTGTCCCAAAAATAAATAAACGTTGAAAAAAAATGTTTATTAATTTATTTTTCAGAAAGAGAGAAAGAGAGAGCAATAGAGGGGCAGAGAGAGAGGGATAGAGAGAATCCCAAGCTGGTTCTAAGTTGTTAGCATGGAGTCCCAACCCAGGGCTCGATCTCACTAACAGGAGACCACAACCTGAGCTGAAATCGAGTGAGTTGTTTAACTGACTGAGCCACTCAGGCACCCTTAGCTAAAATAATTTCTTATTCCTTAACCATGATCATTCACACATGCCAGATGAGATGAAACGGTATTTAGCTTCTACACAGAAACCACCAGGGCTGATTTTTCTAGGCATTATAAGTGAAAACACACCTAGATGTTTCCTATGATCTTTTCACTTACTTCAGCCAACGCTAATATTTAAATACTTCCTCAATATTCTTCCCCAAACCCTTTTTTTCTTCATTCTTGTTAAGCATGTATAAAAGAGAAAAGAAATTCTATTTACTGGAAACGGGCTACAAATAGACATAGTTTTATAACCCTAAGGCTCTGTACAGAGCAGACAACTGGATTTGCAGTTTTGAATGAATTAATTGGTCCCTTTACTCAATGGAACAGATGAAGTGAAAATCTCATAGAGAAAATAAAGCATATCTA